CAACCCAGGACCGGAACCCACACTGTTGGTGGCTGTGCAATCGGAAGTGCTGTCCTATGGCCTTCGGAGTGGGCGCGAGGAGGTGCTGCTGACCACTGACAAGGAACGGACCGTCTTCTCACTCGACTATGACTTGGTCGAAAGGAAAATCTTCTGGATGGACCTGGCCACAGAAAGCATTTCCTGGCAGAGTCTAGATTCAAGTAAAAAAGGCACGCTGGTGAAAGGTAAGCTGCGATAGCTTGGGGCTAGTGAGGCTGCCCTCTCTGTGGCTTGGATGCAGTTGGGGTACCAGGCTGTGTCCCCTTGTATGGGAAAATTATAGAACCATAGAATGGCTTAGGTTGGAAAGAAACTTAAAACCCACCCAGTTCCAACTTCCTGCCATGTGCAGGGTTGCCACCCACCAGCTCAGGCTGCCTAAGGCTCATCCAGTCTGGCCTTGAATGCCTCCAGGGACAGGGCATCCACAGCTTCTCTGAGCAGCCTGTGCCAGTGTCTCACCAGCTGCTGGTGGAGATGGCTAGGAGAACTCTGAGCTCGTGAGGTGATGGGGATCCAGGCTGTGAGCATGGTGCCTCTTGCAGCTGTCACCCTATGGGTGCTGACTCTTGGTCTTCTTGCAGGTGTAAGATCAGACTGTATTGCTGTGGACTGGCTTGGGAGGAACCTGTACTGGACGGATGGGGTGGCAGGGCAGGTGCTGGCCACTTCTCTGGGAACTGCCTGGCGAGGGAAACCAGAGTACACCGTGGTGCTGGATGGAGACTTGGACCAGCCACACTCCCTGGTGCTCCAGCCTCTGGCCGGGTAAGGCTGGGGCCAGAGTACTTGGGGACCTTCTTGCCTGGCCCATTGTCCCCCATAGAAACAGACAACAGGCTGGGGGAGAGTTGGTTTGGCCTCATCTGAGTGCTGTTGCTGCTGTATGATTGGGGGAGAAGAACCCAAGCATCTGCTCCTGCCCTGCACAGAGCTCTCAGTGCATCCCTGATGGGATGGGAAATGCTGTGCTGCCCCTCCGTGCTGCCCCTCCGTGCTGCCCCTCCGTGCTGCCCTGGTACTGGGCAGTGCCAGGTCTGTGGGCCAGCACTCTTCTTCCTGCCAGGATGCTATACTGGTCAGAGGTGGGGAACCAGCCACGTCTGATGGAGGCCACCATGGATGGAAGGCGGCAGCGTGTGCTGCTGGCGTTAGGCCTGGGCTGGCCCACGGCACTAGCCCTTGACCTCCCCACCTCGAGGCTCTTCTGGCTGGATGAAAAGCTGGGCAGTGTTGGTTCCACACATTTGGATGGCACCGATGTAAAGGTGTGCAGCTGGGGGTTCTGGTTATGGGGCTGGCTTGGGTGCTGGCATTGATACTCACAGCCTCTCCTCCAGGTGCTGCAGCTGAGATGGGTCCAGAGTCCTTTTGCAGCGGTTGTGTGTGAGGACCAGCTCTACTGGTCAGAGAGGAAAGCTTGGTCGGTGCAGCAGGTGGACAAAGCCACAGGCAAGAATAGGACAGTGCTGCTCAAGCGACATGGGCAGCCCCATGGCCTTCAGGTACCTATGTGGGGAGCCCAGACTCCTGCTGCACTCACTGCTGGGGCTCCCAACCTGCCACACCCTGGGTGGCACTGAGAGCTGCACCTACTCCACAAATGATCCTCTGGTCTCTGTGGTCCCTGCGGTTGAGAATCACCCATTCTCTTAAGGAGCATCTTCATGCTTGGCTGGTAGCCTGGCATGGTACTGGTTGTGCTCAGCTCTGCTGCTAGACACTGGGCTGAGCCTGTCCTTCCCCACAGGTGATGCACCCAGCCCTGCGCCTGGCAGCTCCCAACCCATGCACAGCCCGCGGCTGCTCCCACCTGTGCCTGCTGAGCAGCCGGCATGCTGGGCAGTGCCGATGCCCCATTGGGCTAACGCTGGCTGCCGATGAGACCACCTGCCTGCCCATCCACACTTCAGCCTTTGCCCTCCTGGTGTCACCAGCAGCCGTGATGCAGGTATCCCCGCAGAGCCAGGTCTCCTAGCTCCCTCCTGGGGAGCAGGCTCTTGGTACCAGAGCTGACTCCTTCCTCCAGGTCTACCTGAAGGACATGCCACGAACAGCTGGAGCCCAAGGCCTCCCCCCACACCGGGCCCTGCCTCTGGCGAAGGTAGTGCACTTGACAGCTGTCGACTACATGGTGAAGGACAAAAGCCTGTACTTTGCTGAGGTGGGGGGCAACTCCATTGGGATGCTGCGCCTGAAGGACTCGGGCCGACTCTCCTGGAAGAAGGTTGTTGCTGTGGAGGGCACAGTGGTGTCCCTGGCCCTGGACTGGCTGAGCGGAAACCTGTACTGGATCGAGGGGCAGCCCACCAGCATCCGTGTAGCCACAGCTGGGGGGCGGTGGGCCCTGATGCTGCTCAGTGAGGGGCTGCAGGATGCTGCCTGGCTGGCCCTCTGCCCTCGCGCCTCCACCATGTGCTTCATCACAGCAGCAGGCAGCCGCAGGCCTGGTGCTGTAGTGGAGTGTGCAGCCATGGACGGCAGTAGCCGCAGAGTGGTTTGGAGCAGAGCCCACTCTCCTGCTGGCCTCACTTTTGGGGGTTCCGGCACCCGGCTCTACTGGGCAGACCAGGGTGAGTGTGGGGCAGCATGGAGGACAGTGGGGCTCAATGCAGCATGTCCACAAGGGGTGGCATTCTGTGTGCCACACCTAATGCCCCCTGTGTCTGTGTTTGCAGAGCGTGGTGCAATTGGCAGTGTAGAGCTGGATGGTTCCCACTTCAGGCTGGTGCGGGAGGGACTACATGGCCTCAGGCTCTTTGCCATTGGAGATGGCTTTCTGCTCTGGTCAACATCCGCAACCAATGGTAAGGCCATTGAGGGACTGCTGGGCTCCCTCCAGCTTCTGCTGTCCCAGGCCCCGTGGGGCACAGGGTAGTGGCAGGCCAGAGAAGCTCCATGCCAGGCAGTGCTGATCCTGTGTGTCCCCAGGCTCCAGCAAGGTCTGGCACAGCCGACTGGAGCAGGCCAAGAGCTGGTGGTTCCTGATGGAGCAAGAGTTGGTGGCCTTGAGAATTTACAGCCAGTTCTCACAGGAAGGTAGGTCTGGGGGTGCCTCAGCCCCTGGCACCTGGAGCATCAAGCTCCACAGAGGCCCTGCTAACAGATTCTGTCTCACCAGGCACCAATGGCTGCACAAAGAGCAATGGAGGCTGTGCCCAGCTGTGCTTGCCCAACCCTGCAGGGCGGCAGTGCCGCTGCTCCCATGGATACCACCTGGTACGTGGGGTGACCTGTGCTCCAGTTCCACCGTGCCCAGCACTGCTGCAAGCCTGCGCTAATCTCCAGAGCTGCATCTCTGCAAAGCAGGTCTGCGACGGGCACCCCGACTGCACCGATGGCTCCGATGAGTTGGGCTGTGAGTGCCTGCATGCTGCTAGGAAATGCCAGAGATCCCTCATCGTGGGGTCTCATTCTGGTGCTCTGATCTGTGCTCTTTCCCTCCAGGCACCTCTGAGGAGGCAAAGACACAGGTCCCCGTGTTATCATCATCAAGGACAGCCCATGCAGAAGAGGAGAAATCAACTGTGCCCTCAGCTGCACCTCAGCAGCCCAGCCCCAGCCTGCCTGCAGCCCCTGGGCCCCGGCAGCACGGAGAGGCCTTCCTGGCAACCCCAAACACAGAGGAGGTGCTAGGGGCCATGCCGTGCAGCAGCGAGACATGCAATCTGCGCGGGGAGTGTGCCATTGAGGCTGGGCGGGTGATGTGCCACTGCGCCCTGGGCTACCGTGGGGACTACTGTGAGGAGGCAGAGGTGCAGCCGTTGGCAGGCCCCATCACCCTAGGGGTGGCTGTGCTTCTGTTGCTGGCTGCGGCAGCCGTGGGGGCCCTGGCCTACATGCGGAAGCGGGATAGGAGGAGGAGGTGAGCTGTAGGGCTGGGCTGGGGATGGCTATATGGAGAGCTGCAACAGCCCAGCAGGGAGATGCTGTGGGTTGTGACAGGACCTAGGGATCTGCTCTGTCTCTGAGAAATGGTTCTGCTATCCTGTGCGTACCTTGCTTTTTCCCTCAGGACCTCAAGCACTGCCTCCACCCGAGTGCTGACCCTGTACCACCGTGAAAGTGACCCTGAGGAAGAAGATGAGGAGGAGGAAGAGCTTCCACCCAAGAGTGATACCTTTGTGAATGAAGCTTATGACGGGAAAGAGGTGAGCTGGCCCTGCTCAGGACACTCCTTGTAAAATCACAGAATGGCTTGTGTTGTAAAAGACCTTAAGGCCCACCTAGCTCCAACCCCCTGCCGTGGGCTGGTTGTCTCCCCCAGATTAGGCTACCCACAGCCCCATTCAGCCTGGCCATTCTGTCCATGACCCCTGTGCCAGGGTGCCCTCTGGACCCAGGGAGGCTGGTTCAAACCTGCCCCTAATGCACTTCTCTGTGGTCTGTGCAGGAGCTGCCAACCCGGCTTGGGAAGGGACCATCTCACCCCAACACTGTACTTCCATAAAGGAACATCGTGCAGCATCTCTGTGCTGTGGTGGTTTGTGTGGGAGACAGGGAAGAGGGAGTACTCTGGGCTCATAAAGGGTGGAAATGTGGCCTAACAGTCCTGTAGGCAATCCCAGCCAGGCTTGGCTCCTGCCCTCTTTTGCAGGGATTTTATAGCACAGCTGTCTCTCACAAACCAGTGGGACCAGTTCTACTGCCTCCCACTAAGCTAACTATGGAAAGAGAAATATGTGCTATTTTTCTTCTCTGTGACTTTCCCTCCCCTCTCCCTCCCAAAGTGGCTGTGCTCAAGGAAAGAGAAACCTTCTCCTGAGCTGCTTTTAACCCTGGGGGGAAAGTCCTTGGGGAAGGCACCTGTAAAAGCCACCTGTCCTCCTCCAGACCTTTCCTCCCTTCTCCAGGTGAAGCACGGTGGGGCAGGGTTGGCGTGCTTTGCTGGCTCTCAGCCAGTGTGCCTGGCAGAGAGCCCATAACTACTTTGCAGAGCAGAGCTGTTCCTCCTCATTTATTTTGATGTTTGCTCAGCCCTAAAGAGACATTTGGGACATTTGGTCCCCCACCCTGCAGGCTGCACAGCACTAACTGGTGGCCTGCTCGCATGAGAACGCTGCAGCTGCCTTAGCCCTGCATGGCACAGGGGACTGAGCTAAGAGCTGCACAGAGGGGGTGGAGACAGGGCTGGAGCCAGTACAGCTTTGGCACGGTTGCAGAGCGGGGAGCATGGCTGCCTGCAGAGCTTCAAGATGTGTCACTGTGCTGGAACTACAGGTCCGAGTCACAAGGCAGGGTGCTCCTCCCACGCCGCCCATCTCGCTCATTCTCCAGCACATCCCAGGGGTTGCTGTAGGCCCCAGTGATGGAGCGTGTCCCAGGCTCCAGAACAGGGCTAGGGGGAGTTTTGGATGCCCTGCGCTCCTTGCAGCAGTGGTGGAAGCTGAGGGTGAGGGCCACTCCCCCCAGGATCTCCAGGCAGCTACCCAGGTAGCTCAGCACCAAGCTGTAACCCACAGCCAGCGTGGCACCAGAGGGTGCAGGTAGTACCTCCAGCTCATGGGTGTACCAGGAGGCAGGCACCAGGCTCAGCAGCCCCGGGAGCAGCAGCACAAGCCCCGAAGCACCAGCCAATGCGTGACGGGGTTCCTTCTGCCAGCACCGCACCCCCAGGGCAGCCACCACCAAGCCCAGCACTGTGAGCACCAGTGAGCTGGGCATCAGGCCTCGTGCCACCTGCACGGGCACCTCCTTGAAGTAGCCCAGCTCATCCTCCTGCCCGCAGAGGCGATCATGGCTGCTCTGCCGCTCCCTGCACAGGTCCCAGATGCCCTGCTCCAAGATGAGGTCGGAGGGCTGATTGGGGATGAGGCTCACCTGCCTCCAGTTGGGTGTCAACGTGCCTGTCAGTGTCAGCAGGAGCCCGCAGGGGCAGAGCACCAGTCCCACGATCATCACGGCCGGCGTCCGCATGCTGGGAGAGTGGGCTCCAGGGTGGCTCTCTGAATCCTGCCGCTTCTGATTGCTGAAAGCTGGGATTCTTGTGCAGCAGTGCCTGGTGAGCTGGGCAGGCTGTGGGAGCTGTGAGCTGCAGGAGGAAGTGCAGGCAGGGAGGAGCCGGCAGGCAGCGGGCAGGGCTGGCTGGCACCCAGCCGGCAGCATGGGCACGTGGGAGCCCCTGGTGCTCCACTCCCCTTTGCAGGTATATTGGGGAAAGTGAATTTATTGGTGAAAGCATTAATTCATCAACTTGCAGAATTGGTAAGGATCCTGCAGTCCTTCACCAGCTCAAGAGACCTTCCTGGCCTTCATCTCCTTGCTCTTCCTCCCCATGAGCATCACTCCTAGTTCCTTCTGTGAGCCTTTCCTCCATAAAACGCCCAAGTCTTGGGCATTTCACAGTTTCCCTGAATTTGTGCCAGTCACGCTGGGTCCAAGAGAGGGCAGCATTCTCTGTGGATTAATTTGGGATGATTCATCCCAGCCAGGCTGACTGCAGGTCTTCACCACAGCATGTTTGTGCTGGTGGCCTCGGGCACCTTAGAATCACAGAATTATTAGGGTTGGAAAATACCTCTAAGAATATCTAAGTCCGACCTCAGCCCATCCCCACCATTCCCATTTACCATGTCCCTCAGTGCCACATCCACACTGTTCCTGAACACCTCCAGGGACAGTGACTGCACCACCTCCCTGGGCAGCCTGTGCCACTGCATCACCACTCTTTCTGAGAAGAAATTCTTCCTAATATTCAACTTGAACCTTGAGGTTCCCTGAGGGTTCTCTTTGGCTCTGCGAGTGCCACACCACTGGGGAACTCATTGTGGAACTATGAGCCATGGAGCTCAGCTCCTGGTGCTGGGAAGTTTGCAATTAAGCAGTGAGTTCAGGTGTAAGAGCCTGGGCCCTTCCAGTTGGTTAACCCAGTAGCATGGGATGTATGCCCTTGGGCTGGTGCCCAGTCTCCTGACTGTAGGCTAACAATAAGCAAATTGGGTGATGTGGCCCTGATGCTTGGTGTCCTGCCCTGAGTAATCTCAGGGAAGGAAATAGAATTAGCAGAGCTGTTTCCCAGTGCTGCATTTATAGATTGTTCATTTCTTCCCTTTTACTTTTTAATGAGGGGGTGTGAAAAGCCATTCGAAGCAGAGACTGGCCCTCTCTTGCTCTGGGGAAGCATTCAAAGCCATCTGGTTGCAGAGATAGCGTGGGCTGGCTGACACAGCCTTCCTTCCCCCACTTCCCCAGCTGCTGGGTGGGAAAGCTGCCTTACTTGGTGCTTCCTCCTTCTGCAGGGCTGTGACTGAGTTTTTCCTACCTACCTAAAGCCACATCTTTAAGATCCTGATGAAAACTTCATCTGGGCCTATTTGAGTGGGCTTGTGATTATTTAATCCCTGCCTCCATTAGTGTCTGCCTCGGGCCATGGTGATGACAGGATACAGCTCAGTATAGGATCGGTGGCTTTGGGGTTACATCCATATGGAGCTGAGCTTGGTGTGAGAGCTGGGCCATGCCTGATGGAATGGGCTGCCCAGGGAGATGGTGGAGTCACTGTTCCTGGAGGTGTTCAGAAATGTGGAGATGTGGCACTGAGGGACATGGTTAGTGGGCATGATGGGGTGACAGAGCTGGGGGTTGAACTGGATGATCTTAGAGGTCTTTTCCAACCTTAATGGTTCTACAATTTCACAAATGGGGAAAGCATGCCACAGCAGTCTCCCTCTGCCACCCTTGCTCTGATCCAGTTCAAGCTGTGTTCCCTTTTAGAGGGAAGAGGCAGTCCTGCTCCATGCTGAGCATGGGATGCTGAGACCAGCAGGACACATTTTCCCCTCTCTCCTCTGTGCCGCAGGTCTGCAGCAGCAGTGGGATCTCAGCATCCTGTTTGCTGTGCTGGGAACAGCCAGGCTTGTTTAGCAGCAGCCTGCAGCTGGCAATTCCTGTTTACATCCTGCTGACCCTGAGGCTTCACCGGCCTCATGCACAGTGAGATAGTGGGGCTGTGAGGCTGGAAGGGGCACCAGGTTGGCTCAGTGCCCTGCAGCTTGAATCCCCACCAGCCTTTGTGTGATGCCAGCTGGGTTATGCCTGAGCCCTGACCATTTGTTCTCTCATTATGGGAACTTGCAATGGCTCTGGCAGCCCCCTGCATTTGAGGTTGTTTAGACTTGGCTGTCTGAGCCTCCATCCCACAGGGAAATCTTCTTAGACAGGTGTCCAGGTGGATGGACCCAGTTCTGGCTGCTCTATTTAGCTGGTTTTTCTTCGAGAATGAGGAGTGGGGGTGTTTCTAGGAGTTTCAGGGTTTCCTGCCAGCTTGCCTTTAAGCAATATCCTGGCTCTGCACTGTGTACCCAGCTGCAGCTGCAGTGGGCTTCTCTCAGACAAGCTCCTGCCTGGGCACACTGCTCTCTTTGTGCCTGCTTGCAGGACACCAAGGACAAGCTCCTCGGCAGGACAGAGTCTGCAACCCATAAGTGACTAAGGAATGGGCACTCCGTGCCCTTCCCGCAGTTTGGGCTCTGGTGTGCACCCAGCACAGATCCAGCTCTCAGGCCATGGCTTCTGCTAGTAGATTTATTGGCTTTCCATTTACCCATTGACCTGCCGCCTGCATGCTGGAGATGGCAGCCCCAAGGCTGCGCTTTAGGGGGGTCATCAGTGCTCAGGGGCCGTGCTGGGCATACAAGGGCTGTGAGATTTCCCCTCTGTGACTCAGGACCATGACTCAACACTAGTTTACCATACATAGGCATGGTCTGTAGGAGTCCTGGCTGCTCCCCCCCAACTCAAAACTCAGCATGAGGAGCTGCATACACCCCTGCAACCTGGGGAGCGCATCCCATGACTCCTGCAGGGAGCAGCAGACCTCAGCTCTGCCTCTGCAGCCCAGCTGTGACAGAACCAAGCAGACTACATCCTGGGAACGAATTGTTGAAAGCACGATTAGACTCCCCCCAGGTGTTCACTCATCTGTTAAACTCCCTTGCTTCCAAACCGCTGCATTTGGGCTTGTCAGATTGCCTAGCGTTTCTTCAGAACCTCAGCTTCCTGTTCAGACAGTGATGGAAAAAGCGCTTTTGCAGTTATTTCTATTTTAGCCTGCCTCACTTCTGAAATGGCTGAAAGTAGTTTGGACGTGAGGTTACTGCTCTGGGGTTTTGGGGTGTAGACAGAGAGAAGAGAGCTGTGTATGGCTGCTGCGCTGCTAATGTGGGAAGCTAAGGGCAGTGCTGGTGCCCACGGGTGCTGAGCATGCGGCAACAGGCAGGGTTGTGACGGGGTTCACTGAGCTGCTGTACCTGTGACTCACCCACACGTACTTTGCTCTCTTTGGGCTGAAAGGCCTGAACCCAAAGCACAGCTGGTTTATGGCTGTGGCTGCCTGTGCTGCTGTCTATGGGTCAAAACTCTTGGCATATGACCATGCTGCAGGAGGAAAGAGCTGCTTAAACCGTTCCTATTGAGAATGGGTGGATGAATCTCTTGATTTAGGCCAATGGAGTATTCCCAGGGCTGTTTTTTTTTCTTCTAAATTAGCTGTTTCTTTTAGTTTTGCCTACTTGGATCATACAGAACCAGGAGATGGCTTCCTTCCATCACCTGCATGCCTTGAGCATAGCTGTGGTACCTTTGCTGGGATTGTTGAAGCTGCAGCATGAGTTACAGAATCACAGAATCAGTAAGGTTGGAAAAGATCTCTCAGATCATCACGTCCAGACACCAGCTCATCCCCACCATGCCCACTGACCACATCCCTCAGTGCCACATCTTCAGAGTTCTTGAACACCTCCATGGACAGTGACTGCACCACCTCCCTGGGCAGCCTTTGCCATTGTATCACCACTCTGTCTGAGGAGAAATTCTTCCTAATATCCAACCTGAACATGCAATGAACATGCAATATGAATTAGCAGGGAAACAAGGGAAGAAATTAGATATTCTGGAGCAGCAGCAACTTCAGAGGAGCATCAAGCACAAGCAGCAAGACAAAGCACTTTACAGCTGTGTGTCACACCCAGCGTGCATTGTTAGACAATAGCCATAAATTATTATCAGAGCTTCATCATGAAGGAAGGCATGGAAAACTGCCAACCTATGAGCTGGGGGGGGGGGGGAATGTCTTCATTCGCCATGGTTCCAGTCTTCTCATAGATTCACTGTATTGAGGGCACCACAGGCAGCCCTGTCTGGAGGACATTTTGCTGCTGAATTTCAAAGGCTGCTGCAAAATCATCAGGGCGTGAAAGCTCTTTATAAAGAGTCACAGGAATCATCTATTTTCCTTAAAATGAAGAAATTAAGATGGCACGAAATGGTTCTTAAGAAGAAGCATGTCTGCTTCTTAGCCTACATATCAGCCCGGAGGTACGTCTGAATGAATTCTTGCATGTTGATTTTCCAGGCACCGAGTTATGGATCTCTAATTTGCCTTTAACCCTCTCAAACAGGGCACTGTGCTCATTCTTTGCCTTGGTCCTGCTCCAGGCTTCCCACAGTTCTTGGAGAGTATGGCTTGGGAACTGGAGATGGCTCCTCCTCTGATAATGGGTGTTGCTATAGCTCACACACATTTCACCCAGCTAAAAGTTCGTGAACCTCATCTTTCGCAATCCTGGCCCATTTCCCGACCCCTTTTCTGTTCATCGTCAAGGCTAAGTGCTGGGGCAAGGCTTTGGCTTAGTAACTGAAGGTGCCTAAGAGAGAGACTGCAAAGTTTCGGATAATTTTCTTTCTATCTTGGTGCTTTGTGGAGGGTAATTGATCCTTTCAATTCAGTAGAGTTATTCACCTCTAGATCCAACTTGTATGTGAAAGACAAATGCAAGAAAGGCAGTAGTGTCATCATCTTCTTCCATTTACTTTGCTCACGTGACCAGTAGTGATAGTCTCACCCACCCTTCAGTCCTTCCTCTTCATCCTCCAGTTGTTGCTTCTCATGCCCATCACTGGCTTTGCAGCATCTGACCTGTTTTTCTGCTGGTAAATGATCATTGGCATGCCAAACACTGGGCACAGAGCTAGCTGATTCAATCTAAAGTCTCCTGGAAACATTTGAACTGTGCTAATTCTCAGATCT